TTTTCGTCAAGAAACTGCAAAAAATTAGACTCCCTAACATTCAAAAGCCTAAAAAGACCAGCGTGACAGACGAAAAAGACGCTGAACTATTTTTCATTCGCCATCACATGGATGATGAAAGTCCTCCTTCAAGGTATCTTGAACTGGTAGATGCTCATGGAGTGTTAGACTGACTGGCCAAGGTCAACCTGAAAGCTAAGGACTTGATCTCGTTTGAATTTGATGATGAACCTCTTTTTAAGAGAAAAATAAACCTTATGCGGAGTACAACGAGCTTGAAAAAAATATTTAAGTGAGATTATAGGTCTACCACCTCCCAGATTCAAGGTACTTTAGCGCGACGTCGGGTTTTCCTTCGGTCTTGGCGAAATGAAGTATGCCTCCAAAAAGCTGTATACAACAAGATATATGTGTGGAGCCGCTGGCCTAGTGGGGTGCAGCCTCAAGGTTAATTAATGGTGATTTTCTACAGTTCAGAGGATTTGTGTTTGAGGTATACGTTGTAGAAATAACAAAATTTCAGTTTTCGATGTAGCTCACTTATGATTAGTTTGTTAAAAGTTTAGAAATTTGAGTGAATATTTAAAGCTCGGTTGATATCTGCACTTGTAAAATGTCCGTTCCATGAGGTGAAGTGCTGCAAACAGATACAGATCTTTTGTATCAGTAGTAAATTGAGCGTAGAGTGAGCAAACGAGAGCGGGGTAACCATTTTCTTTAACCTTAACTCTCTCGTTCATTCGCCAGCGTTGACCGTCAGCTGTTCGTTATATTCAGAGACTTTTTCTATCCACATCCCTATCCATGAACACGCTCCTTCCCAACACACTTTTCACAATTTCTTCACTGTGCGGATTTGTATTCGATTGTTATATGGAAAATATCTTCAAGCTTGGTATTCAAAGGTTTGATATGAAAACCTTGGGACGTAAATAATAATATGTTTAGGAGTTATGAATGGTCTTTAGACACTGGAAATGTATATTGAAGGTAACACAATACAATGGCAACTACATTGCTAAGTTAAAAAGAATTATGTCTAGATGGTTCAGAGCCACCTTAAATTTTTGAAACGTTCAGGTGGCTCTGAACCCTCTCAATAGGACTTTTTTAAACTTTGTAAAAAGTTGCATCTTATCATGCTTATCGCAATTCGATAATAAAAGCGAGGATCAACGAGGTCGTTTTTTAATTATACGTGGTTAAAGCTAAATTTAAGGGTGTTTTAACAGGTTGTGCTGTTGCCATGGAAACCCTTCACATAAAAGGGATGACCGCAACTTGTTTACCAAACAATTGTGCATTTGTGTGATACCATTATTGTAGCATAAGTTGTTAAACAGAAGTAGTATTTGTCCTTCAGAGTAGTGCTGGAAACTGCTGCCAGCATCCTAAGGCAACTTTGTAAACTGATGTAAAAGCTGCAATCTGATTGGCTGAGCTATCGTACCCTATTAGCACTAGAGTGTAATGGCTGGAGAACTTTGGAGAAACGAGAAGACGTCGCCATTTCAAGACAACCTCCAGCCATAGCACACTAATGGCTGATAGTCTACGATAGCTCAGCCAATCAGTTGTACAGTGAACAAAGAGAATTCTAATAATTAACCATTAGGTTCTTTGCACTTGATTTCTATAAGGCCAAAGGTGATCTGGCCTGCCGCCTAATCAACTACGTTATCTTACAGAAATCTCAACCACGTTATCTTGTTAATTAGTGGTGTCTGAAAAGACTTCAGGGTCATGGCGTCAACTTTAGTGACGTTGCTTTCCGGTCACCGAGAAAGAGAAGCGTTATACTAACGACCATGCAATTATGGGAGAGGTTATGGGCACCACGCACCGTTAGATCAATGGGAGGGGATGGCAAGGAGACTGCTGATAGTTTACCAATTTAATTGTTCATAATAATTGTTCATTTTCAGTATTGAAAACTTGACATTTTGGTCATTAACGCGTGCTCGCGCGCGCGAGGATAATGTGAAAATCAATCGGAAACCGATGGAATTAATTGCTGCTTGCTAAGGCGATAGAAAAGATTCGATTTTTGAATTGCTTTTTATTCCTAAACTTCAACCAAAACTGAACAAACAGAGTGACTCGATCCGCGCGAAGTTATTTAGTTAATTATTTCATTTTTAGTGCAGAGTGCACTATTGGGATGGTTATGGGAGCTGCCTGCAGCCAAGGAACGAAGGCACTATGGCTATATGGCCTTATGGCGCTAAGGTGTAAACTTTAATGTTTGCTTAATTAATTAATTTCAATTAATTAATTAGTCTAGAGGCAAGGAAGTAGTGGGGGTAGGGT